ATGTATGTTAAAAAGAAAATTTCCAAAAATGAATATTTTTTTTTCTTTCAATTTCGTAAAAACAAATATATATTCCGAAAATATTGTAAAAAAAATTATTTTTATTCAATTTGAAGGTTGAAATTAGGATATGAAAATAGCAAAGGTTATTGGGACAAAAAGTCATAGATAGAAGGTTAATTTACAAAACACTAATTCAAACTGAGTCAATTTAGCAAATTTTCCAAATTTATACAGTATCAAATTGATATTACATAACTAAATCTAATAAAAACGACAAAAAATAATTAAATCTAATAAAAACTATAAATGGCATGTGTCGCTTTTATAATACAATGCATTTAGTTTTAATTAATGAGATTTAAATAGGATTGAAGCTTAAGACATGTATGTTTGCTAACTTACATCACTATGGACGTTATCTCGCTTTGGAGAAAGCAATTTTAACGGAGTCTTTGAAGGAGTTGGAATTGGCCGAGGTCGCCGCGAAGAAGAAACTAAGGGACAGTGAGGGATTTATCAGAATTTATTCGAGTGTTTTCGAATGTTTCTTGAGTAATACTTTTGTTATTTGAATGTTTTAAAGGTCTTTGCTTTCTTGATACCCTTGAATCTTTCTTTGACTGAAACTAGTTTTGCAATATGGTCGATTAGTATGTGAAGTTAGATCATGCAATAGCTAGAGATCAAAATGAGAAACTTGTGATATTTATGAGAATTACGTAGTACATTGCTTCTTCCCCTTGAACGTCTACTGTAAACCAGTGACCCTAATTACAATGGTTAATCTAGCAATTAGATAGTAACTCCTAGAATTAACCACAAGGTTGAAATCAACTCTTACAAGCCCTAAGTCTCGATGAACCAGCTTTTTGTCTAATCCTAAATCCAGTCTTCGTATTCCTCCTACTCGAGATGTGGATGAATAGTTTGAAGAATCTGTCTTTACATAATTTAAAGACTAGAGATGGCGAACAACTAGTTGTCTTTGTCGTCATCCTCGTCGTAGTTAAACGGTAATGGAACTGTCTTGAATGCTCGGTACTTCCCCACGTTGTTCAAATGCTCGTTCTCTAATCTGTTTAAACGAACCAAAACCAATCCAAGAAAGTTATATTATATGTTGTGTGACAGGTATATATATGTGGTGAAGAAAAACTGCAGTAATGTGTGTTGTTTACCTGAAGAAATTCCATATCCCACGGCGGATAATCTCAAGACTGGCAACAACAGCAACCATTGTCTGTCTGTGCATAAAGGAGAAATTGAAATCCAACACCGTCTGAAGCCATGCGAACCTGAGCAAGATGTTCAAGATCTGCATGATTTTTTGGAAGGTTAAGAATTAGTTTAGCTCTGAGATTTAAAATGTTGAGCTTATTTTTATAACTTGTGCTCACCATTGCGATAAAGTATACTTTCTTCTGAGGGACAAGGAGTTTATCCCGGAGCCAAGGGTTCTTAGATGTCCTGTTTAGAAGACCCCAGTCAAGGACTAAGTCCCAGTAAGTACAGAAAATGGCAGCAATAGCTGAGAAGATCCCAGCCAATATCCTCCAGACCAATTGATTATCCTCGTCGACACTGTAAGTAGTCCTCAAGCAAACGGCTACTATAGTCAAGAAGTACTTGAGACCGTTGTATCCTTGTTCTGGGTTTTTCTCTTCAAATAACCGCCTTAAGCACTGCAAAAATATCGGTATTTAAGCAAGTATTATATGGATAAAGAAAGTATTGAACGGTTAGATTTCTGTCTAAATGTACCTGAAGGAGACGACAGACGTATGGGACGACAGCAACAATGAATAAGAAAGCACTGTAGGCATCTGAGTCTGTGCAAGTGTTTTTTCTAAGTTTGTAATCTCCCCAACCGTAGTGACATATGTAAAACTGGACGCTTCGAAGAGCTTGCACCTGACTTGTTAACTGATCGGCCAATAAGAAATCAGGTAAAGTTACCTGCAGGACAAGGCGAAAACAACAAGATTTAAGACATGTTAAAATACGATTATCGATATTTTTTTTTCATGATCAACGAGCCGTTCAGTTTCTGTTCTACCTTGTAAAGAGGAGCAGCAAGGCAATGAAAGACACATGTGAGGAAGAAGAAGCGACTCGAGCGGTAGAAGATGTTGAATGGTAAGACTAGAACTACAAACATAACCTATATCACAAAGTTATGCCATTAATATTGTAATCTAGCTGAGTTTCGCATTCAGAAAGCTGATTTTGAATTTACAGACTTACAGCGAGCAGGAAAAGAGGAAGAAGTTCCGTTAATGCTTTGTAATCTTTAGTTTCGGGGTCAACCTCCATGTCAAGATTGGCAATAACACAAAGAAGCGCCAAGACTCCAATGCTGAATCCCACAAGTAGAACAGGTCTATAGCCAAGTTCAGTTCCTTGCTTGAACCCAAGTATGAAAGAATAATTCACTCGATACCGCCTCCAATAGTAAATATTGCCAGCATACATAAGTATGTGAAGCACGATGAACCCAAATAAGCTGCAATGAAAACAATGAAGGCGCATCTAAACAACAAATTCCACCTTAAAATGCTCCTTATAAATTAGTAGGAACAGAGGCAAATTAAGTTTTACCTGTAAAGAGGAAACATAGTGTTCATGTACTGTTTTTGACCTTCCTCCTGCAAAATGTTTCGGGTGCGTATGATCGCGACTAAAGCCACTATCAGAGAAAACATGCATCCACCCAAGAAACCTGAAACCGAATTCCCGATTAGAAACTGACAAACAAAGACTGAAATGAGAAACAACTAAGAAGTATAACGAATTCCACCTGTGGAGAATGTAATTCGATGTCTTTCTCTTTTAGCTTTCGGTCTCAAAATGTTCATTCCTTTTCTTCTGTTAGCATTGGTGAAATGCTTTATGAACGTAGCTTCAACACGCTCCATAAGTCTAGTTACCTGTGTGACATTAATCGAGAAGCACGAGACGTTAAATTCGAGAAGAAACATAAGAATTATAAAACCAATTGAATATGAAGAAAAAGAAGACCTTACCTCATCAGAACTTCCAATGTAAGAGTTATCAACCATTTTCATGTAAGAATTTGCAGCATGCCTCGAAGTTATCTGTCACAGAGTAATTTCATCGAACACCTTTCAGTCATTCAAACCAAAAAAAAAAAAAAAACCCCGAAATCAAATTTCACAATCTCTAACCAAAATCTTACCTTATCATACTTCTTCAATATCTTCGAAAACGCCAACACATTCAAAAAGCTATAGCTCTTGAGTAACCGAAGCTTCTGGTAAAACTCAACGAAGGCGCGTCTGAGTTTCTCCTCTACTCTTCTCAGATTATCTCTGCTAAACTTAATCTCCGTCGAGACCTTAAGAACGCCTTTAATGGTGGATCGAGGCGTTTCCTTCGAATGGTTGATTTTGACACGATCTAAAACATCGATCGGAGATGGCCTCGCAGCTTTTAATCTACTTATGTCACCGGAAATTACATCGGAGACGCCATTATCTTCTTGTTTCACTACATCATCACCATCTTCTTCATCGTCGTCGTCGGATTTACCAGCTTTGCTCGATCCTCCTTCCTGTATTGCCTCCATGTGAGCTTGTTGAGCTCGAACGTTCACTGCAACCAAACCACAATACTAAATGTCAATTTTCAATTATGGTTCGACAAAACCGGAACAAATCAATCCTCAATTAAACCATCCAGTACGGTTAAGATTCGATTAAACCGGATTAATCGTTAATCAAACTAGTTAAAGAAACAAATCAATTTCCGATTTGGCCATTTAAGTACTTTCTTGATGAGCAGATAATCCCAAAGAGGAAAAAAAAAGCAAATCAATCCTCATGTAAAACATTCAAGTAAACCGGAT